ACCTCTCGCAGCAGAAATACATAACCGATCTTCTTCATCGCAATGGAATGGCAGATGCCAAACCTGTTTCTACACCAATGGCGTCATCCCCGAAGCTTACCCTCTTATCTGGTCCGGCTCTTTCTGACCCAAAGCCATATCGCCAGCTTGTAGGAAGCCTCCAATACCTTGCCTTCACAAGGCCGGACGTTGCATACGCAATAAATCGCTTGTCACAATATATGCATCAACCCACAGAACCGCATTGGCAAGCTGCGAAACGTGTTCTCCGTTATCTTGCTGGAACGCCTACTCATGGTATATTCTTCTCAGCAACAAACCCGCTCACATTACACGCTTACTCTGACGCAGATTGGGCAGGAGATTCGGATGACTATGTTTCCACTAATGCTTACATCATCTATCTAGGCACAACCCCTGTTTCGTGGTCTGCAAAGAAACAAAATGGTGTGGCGCGTTCGTCGACAGAAGCTGAGTACCGATCAGTTGCAAATGCCTCAGCAGAAATACGGTGGATCTGCAACCTTCTATCTGAGCTCGGAATCACTCTACCAACTCCACCAGTGGTGTACTGTGATAACCTTGGTGCCACCTTCTTATGTGCAAATCCAGTTTTCCATACTCGGATGAAACACGTAGCTCTGGACTATCACTTCATCAGAGGACAAATACAGAGAGGTATGTTACGTGTTGCTCACATAAACACCAAGGATCAGTTAGCGGACGCTCTCACCAAACCTCTAACTCGCGCTACATTCCAGCACATGAGAAGCAAGATTGGAGTTGCCTCAGCACCTCCATCTTGAGGGGGCATGTTAAGGATACTCAATATACACTCATTCAATGCCTGAATATTTCCTTCTAATACTTTAGGAATCTTTCCTATGTAGCTTAACCTAGTTCTCATCTCTTGTACGATATATAAACTCTTGTAATGATGCTTGTGAATATATGAGAAACATATTACCTTTACATTATTAAAATTAATAATACGGTTCAGTATTTATTTAAGATTATCTTGGTTTAGCTGGTGGTATTTAAGAACACTTTCTTTAATCATTTCAAATTAATGAAGAAAATTTTAAAAATGTTGAAATGTGTGTGAGTGTCTACATAGGGGCGATGAATCAGCTAGCAAGGAATTTGGCTTGCGAGTGGGCTAGTGACGGCATTAGGGCTAATGCTGTGGCTCCTGCTGTTATTGCAACTCCTCTGGCTAAAGCTGTGAGAATCACTATGCTAGAGTTCCTCCAAGAATCATCTTTCTTTCTTGCTCTTGCTGATCTCTTGACTTTGTTGGTGATTATCAGGTGTATGATGATGACTTTAAGAAGGCTGTGATATCTAGAAAACCGTTGGGACGTTTTGGGGAGCCTGAAGAGGTTGCCTCAGTCGTGGCTTTTCTATGTATGCCTGCAGCTTCTTATATAACTGGTCAGACCATTTGTATCGATGGAGGTCTCTCTGTCAATGGCTTCTCGTATCAGCCACATGTTTAAAATCTTAATCCCAAAATAAATTGGAACTTTCAACTTTTTAATTTTTGTTAAAAAAGTTTCATATCTAGAGACAGACTTTTGTGAGTTCACTATGTTTTTCGTTATCATCTTGGGCTCAGTCACCCATATATAAGAGACTTCAAACTTCATAAACTTCCAGAAAAAACTATGATACAGTTTTTCTTCCGATTAGGTAACATAATACACCTATAGATATATTTTCAGGACCCAAAACTATGATATAAAGGTATGTATCCAAACAAAATACCTTGTGTGTTATTCAAAAGGTGTAATATAATGTATATTTGCCCTTTAACAAAAAAAAAAATATAATGTATATCCGAAAGAGTAAACAACTTTCTCGACCTTCCAACACTACTAGTCACGATAATAAATGTAGATTAGTTATTTGTTGTTTTCTTAACTTTTCTACTTTATTGCATATTTTATAATTGAAGCTGAAAAGTTGAATGTATTTGAAATTAAACGAGCAAACATATACGAAGCTAAATTTCATAATTAAAGCTGAAAAGTAAAGAAGAAGAACATGGATGTATCGTAGGCATAGGTCGAGGTGCATGCCACCATGCACACTGAACTTTAGATATTTTCTAGTAAAATAATACCAGCTTTTAGAAAATCAGATTGTAATGATATGGGATCATGATAATTCATACGCTATATTCCAAAAACAGAAACTGAATGATTTTGTCACTTACCAATGATTCTAGGAGCTTCAGCCTTGGGAGTCAATTCAATTTCAGTGGTTTTGGTTGGGTCGGTGGATTCACGAACAAGGCCCCATTCTATCATCCTCCCAATTTGTTACGTATCTTATGAGTTGAAATTTCACTACACTCGAAATTAATTCATTTTCTTTAGTTATTTTCTGATTTCACAGTTCTGTATTAATTTTTCCCTCGTCTCATATAGCATTCGAAAGACAAAAACTAGTAGGTGGTAAATTAATGCTTGCTTTAAATGGGTGCGGATGATATGAACTTCTGATCTTTAAGTAGAATAACTTATCAGAATACCGTTGAACCACCAAAACCCTAACTTAATGTCTGATTCTAAAATTTTAATTATTCCAATGCATGGATGTTCCACTACTGGCTGTATTTATTTCTGTAATTATTTTTAAAATAACTTAATTTGTGTTTCAAAATGCTATAGATGTTTTTTTCGGCTGCGAATCTGAGCCGCGGAACTACAGCCGCACACTTCTCCTTTTGAGTAAGACGGAGACTCGGTGACCAAGAAATAAGATTCGGTAAATAAGAATACACTAATGATTTACCAAAATAAATAAAAAATTGCGTTATTTATTTATAAGCAAGCACCAGTTCCCATTTTACAACTGAGACCAGTTGGTTCTTTGACATGGTTGACTTAAAGAGTGGTGAAAGTGAGAGGCAACCTGACCTAACTTCAATCTAGATTTGTTTCAATAGTAACTACGATTACAACACGCGTACGGTGGTGAAAAGGGGTCTTTAGATTCTCTCTTGAAAGAAGGGACCACTCGCCGGAATAGAACCAAAGCGGAAACGTATAGGTAAATGGTTGGGCCACTGCTTCACCCAAGAGCCTTTACTCTCTTCTTTTGTTTTGCCTCTGCCTTTTAACGGTTTTAAAAAACTCCTAACTCCAAAACACTTACGTGTCCTCTGTACGGTTTCTCTTTCTAAATTTCAACTTCATAGTGACTAGTGAGACATCATGAATTTAGTTACAGCTTTACAACGTGAAATCTAATTTGATCTCGTGCGTATAATCAAATCCACTTAATGGAGACAGATTTGGTATTAAATCCAGTATGATATCATTAGATTCATTACTACAAAATGCTGAACAAAAGATTTTCTGCAATGCCGAGAATCTCTGCTGTCTAGTTCTAACTGGTCTCTTTAGTATACGAATTCAAATCTGAACGTATGCAAGAAATTCTTTTATTAATTAACTCTAGCTCTTTACATTAATTAGGTAAACGATTTTACTTTTTGATGCAAATGATATTGGTATGAGATTACAATTTAATTTTTCTCAAAATGTAGAGAGTTTCCAGTATGTTTTAAACAAATAATATATCTTAGCAAATGTGTCGTACGTGTAATTTATCCAATAATATACAATGGCATATCATCTGATGTTCGTTATTACAAGTAACAATTTTGGCTAAATAGAAAGCATCTGTAGATATACGATTTAAAACTGGTATGCATGCACAAGATCTTATGTAGCACGATTAAAATCTGGTACGCATGCAAAATCATTTGTTAGGATTAACCTGTTTTGATTTCGACTGGGATCTTCCACAGCACAGTGTGGTATTCAGGTTTGTTATCATCTACGTTCAAAATAACTAGACTGCATCGTTAGCAACATGAAAGACTACAAATACAATATCCGTACTTCAGATGACAGTAATAGTATTGTCTGAAAAGCTCGCAAATCAGCCTACAAGAATGCTTAAATTAACATGTCTACTTGGTTCCATAAAATTGTTCATTTGTGATATGCAAGATACTGAGGAATAGTTTGAAGATGCACATATATCATGCATCATTAATTATTTAGCAAGCCTTCCATACATTTCAATATCCAAGAATAATGCATTTCACTTTGGGTCATCTCATTTAAGCTTTATGTTTCATAAGTATAAATAGTCTTTACTCATGAAGTTATTCATGCAATCTTTTTCTCTCTATAAGGTTCTCAAACCTTATCTTGTAAACGTTTATTTTAATTGAAAGCCTTTTATTCAAATAAAAAAGAGCGCATTTCAACAAAAACAAATAGCCAAGAATGCATATCACCCATGCCTTTTATTTTTTAAAATGGTTTGGAGTAATTTTCTTAACGTGTCCCATGTAACTCAATGTTAATTAGTTCTCAGTATGTAAATTATTTAACTGGAATGGAAGGTCACAAAACTAACATTTCTGGATGCATATTAGTTAGTTAGGCTTGAAAAAGATGACCTAATTTAGCTCAAACCAAGGTTAACTACAATGAAATTTAACGTAATGAAATTCTTTTAAAATAAAATAGTGTTTTGTTGATTAGATCTTTCATCTTTAGGGAGACAGAGAGACAATTCAGACAAGAAGAAGGAAGAAAAAAGGTCTTCCAGAGAGAAATAGTGGACCACAATCGTGTCGCGAAAGGAACTTCCTCTTTCCGCTCTGTTCAACTCTCATTGGACCACGTATATCTCATACCTGATAGTGATGCTTACGTGGTGTACTATTAAGCAGCGTAGTGACCAGATCAACGGTCAAGATTAATCTAATCTACGACACAAGACCGATACGTCACGTCGCTCCGAGTAAAAGATTTTTTAAGAGAGAAAGGGAGAAAAATCAAAGTTAAAAGTGAAATTGAAAAAGAAAAACAATTTAAAATGTTTATGAAGCGGTAGGCGCGTGGGTTATAAATAACCCCTACCTTGTAACGTGTAACGATGATATTTATTCAATCAATTGCATGCTATCTCAACACAATTTACACAACACAACCATTCGACTTCTGTAATAAAAAGAAAAATATCGGACAGAGATTTTTCTTCTAAAATTTTCTTCGAGATTAATATTGACGATCAAACAATCTAGTGCGAAGGATATTATTTGTGATGGCGGATATTTGTTACGAGGACGAGCCGTCATGGTCTAGCCGAAGGCGGAGGATCGGAGTTCACCGGTGCAGAATATCTCCGTCAGAGATGCATCAGACGGCGGTGGAAGATTCAGAGGGGATTTATAAGCGTAATAAACAAGAGGAGAACGATTTTATGAGCTGTGTATCATCACCTTCACGGAGCTCACCTGATTCAGAAGCTGACGTGGAGGATTCATCGGTTATAGCAGTTAAGAAACCGGCTAGAGAGGCGACGGATACGAGGCCTAGATACGGCGCCGCATCAGTGTGCGGTAGAAGAAGAGATATGGAGGATGCGGTTGCGATTCATCCTTCTTTTGTTCGTAAGCAAACCGAGTTTTCGCGTTCAAGGTGGCATTATTTTGGAGTTTACGACGGTCACGGCTGCTCTCACGTACGACGCCGTTTTTAGCACTTTAATAGTATATTTTTTGAATTCAAATTTTTTGTTATCGGTTAGCCTGAAATACGTTGTCGTTTTAATTTTAGGTTGCCACTAGGTGTAAAGAGAGGCTACATGAGATTATGCAAGAGGAAGCTGCTCTCTCGGATAAGAAAGAAGAATGGGAGAAGATGATGGAGCGTAGCTTCACGCGCATGGACAATGAGGTTGTTCGTTGGGGAGAAACCGTGGTGAGCGCTAACTGTAGGTGCGAGCTTCAAACACCAGATTGCGATGCTGTCGGATCCACAGCTGTTGTCTCCGTCATTACACCGGATAAGATCGTTGTAGCGAATTGCGGAGATTCTAGAGCAGTTCTCTGTCGGAATGGGAAACCAGTTCCTCTATCCACAGATCACAAGGTCAGCCTCACACTCGAGAGAGAAACAAAAAAGTATTTTTTTTCTCTATTTGTTTCATTTTTTTTAGGTTTTAACTTTTTTTCTTATGCCTTGGAAATAAACAGCCGGATCGTCCAGATGAGTTGGATCGGATCGAGGAAGCCGGAGGGAGAGTGATATATTGGGATGGTCCAAGAGTCTTGGGCGTGTTAGCCATGTCACGTGCCATAGGAGATAACTACTTGAAACCGTACGTCAGTTCGGAGCCGGAAGTTACGGTGACGGAAAGGACAGAAGAAGATGAGTTTCTGATTCTAGCTAGTGACGGACTATGGGACGTAGTGACCAACGAGGCCGCGTGTGCGATGGTGCGGATGTATCTTAGCAAAAGAGGTGGAGGAAGGCGGCGAGAAAGTAAAGAGTGTGGTGAAGGGAAAGAGGAGGAGGTGGTGGGGTCGAAGAAGAGCGGGAAGAAAGGAGAGATCTCGGACAAAGCATGTACGGAGGCGTCAGTGTTGTTGACGAAGCTGGCGTTGGCTAAGCATAGTAGCGACAACGTAAGCGTCGTCGTCATTGATCTCAGAAGAAGAAGAAGAAATAGACACGTTGCTTGACACTAATCTCATATCACTCCACCGTCTTTTTTTCTTTAAATATGATTCTTTTGTTTTTTTCTTTCATTGGGTTAAGTGGTGGAGGTTTCACTGGGACGAAGGCATCTCAGATCATCTTCCAACCCTAAAGGAAAAAAAAACATTAGTTGAAAAGAAATTCTCGGTTTATCGAAATCGGTTAAACCGGGGTATGATGGTTGGGTTTTTTTTTTTTTGTTCTGGACTATTGTTTTAGCCTTTTTAGTTGTGTAATCGACAAACAAGAAAGGAAGACGTGTATGTGTCACCGTCTGGATGGCAACGAGTTCAGAATTCAATAAATAAAAAGCATGTGCATATTTGTTTTTGCTTGCTTTTAAGTCATAAAACCATTCATTCGGTAACGCGTGGTATCCTTTCAGACAGCAACGGGAATTTTCTTTTGTTGATAGAGACTTCTGTTTGGGTCTTTGCATCTGGTGGGGCTTCTTGTTTAGAAGATATTCAAAATCTCACGGAAAGGAATAGAGAAAGAAGAATAATTGGGGGTAGAGAGTTAGGACGTGTCACAATGGTAAAACTTAGATACCCTACACCACAAGAAAAGACGTGACCCACAAAGGACCAATACATATATCATATGCACACATTTTATACTTGTCGGTGTTGATTGATAATTGATTGATCTATATCTAAGACTAATTAAAAGTGTTTAAGTTACCTACTTACCCGTCTTACAATCGCTTTATAGAAGATTATTGTTTAGAAAGATATCTAGACCAATTTTTTTGAATGTTTAGAGTGATTTTTTGAACAAAATCATTTTGTTCATATCCGATTTGTCTATTAAGCGGGTGTCAGCTAAACCAATTTTTAGAATACTGATTATACCAAATGAAAATTACTTCTTTTATCTAGAGAATCTATATGGTTGTGAAATGGACCAGGCTGAACACAAACCCAAGACATATCAGACAAAATTTATGGGCTAATTGAATTTGCAACTGAATCCCAACCTAGTTCACAGAATCAGTAGAGGCTTTTAGTTGTCAACAAATAAGATAGAACGACACATATCCAATGCTTCAAAAACCAAATAAAATAGAAAGACACATATCCAATGCTTCAAAAGCCCAATTAGAACTGAGAAAATAAACCGAATCGAAAACCCGCACTGAACCCGATCAAATAAAAAAACGAATCCAAATTAATTCGAATCCGATATAAATATCGAATGGATCTTGTTTTATGAATGGTATTTCAGGTTATATGTATTATCCGAACCGAACCCAAAGTTAAATGGATATCCGATAAAACACAAAACATTCAAAATCCCATTAAAAAACTTGTATCAAACATGATCTTAATTTCTAGGGTTTTTAGTAATAAAACCCTTCAACTAAAGATGTATCGTAAAAAAAACCCTCAACTAAAGATTTAATGAAATAAACCCTCAACTTTATTTCTGTTAATGTTTGTCACCCTCCGTCACAGAATTTTAGACGGAGGGTGACATACGTTAACATAACTAAAGTTGAGAGTTTATTTCACTAAATTTTTAGTTGAGGGCATTTTTTACGATCCATCTTTAGTTGAGGGGTTTTATTACTAAATGCGGTTAAATATTATAAATTTTTTTTATCATTTACTCATTATTTAAGAATCTTAAAATTGATTTATAAACCTTGAAAATAATTTCTATTTTTTATATATTACTTTATCATTTTTATAATCTATTTATAAAATTTTCTCATTTAATACTTTTTATAAATGATTATCAAATTTTAATGATGATTTTATAAGATTAAGATGTGATTATTCGTCATACTACAAAAACATGAAGTAAATAAATAAAACAAGAAAAACTTATTGATAATATGGTAGGAGTATATCATAATGGTTCAGAAATTAAAAAGAAGAAAAATAATCCTACACTATTTCTTCTGAAACAGAAAAAAAATACAAATCAAGTTGAAATTGTTTAAAGAGGAGAAAAAAACCATTGACATATTTTAAGTAACAACTAGCTTTTGACCCGCGCGCCCGCGCGGGTGTTTATTTCTCATAATCATATGTTTTAAGCTTTTGAAAATACAATAAATTTAATTGTTTATGCTTTTTATGTTATAGATTCATATGTTATTTAGGATTGACATTGATATGTCTTGTTTAGGGGTATTTAATCCGGTAAAACCGAAACAATGAAAACCGAACCGAATCGAAATAGAAAAATGGTTTGAATTTGGTAGTACCGAATATACCAAATTGATGTCTTTTTAAGAAACCGCGGTATATGGATATGGTTTGGTATATAAACCGAGTAAACCGAATAAAGCGATCAATTAAAATATAGTGATATAATTATATGTAAATTATACAATATAATTCATAATATATAAAATAATTTATTTAATTGATATGATATCCATACTTAAAATGTTGATTTTAATAATTTAATATTTTATTTAAAGTTAAAAATTACATTTTATTTTTATCAAAATTTACAAAGAAATACTTTTTTTTTGCTGACAAATATGTGTGCTAATATATTAATTATTTAATAGTATTATAGATTACTGATATTTCTAATTTTTATTCTATAAAACTATAACTATTATTAACTTAATATGTTTACTAATTATTTAAATAGTAAAAAAATAAGAACAATTTATTCAAAAATTGAAATATTTTTCGTGTTATATTAAAGCCAATATCNTATAACTATTATTAACTTAATATGTTTACTAATTATTTAAATAGTAAAAAAATAAGAACAATTTATTCAAAAATTGAAATATTTTTCGTGTTATATTAAAGCCAATATCTAATTTTATAAAGTAAAATTCACAACATATTCTAAAATCTAAATATATTTTGTGATTTTTTGGTATATAACCGAAGAAATCAAAAATCGACGGTATATAAACCGAACCAAACCAAAGTAGATATAGATTTAATATGATATCTATTTTTTATAAACTGAAATACCAAAAAATCAAAAATACCAAAGCGAAACGATATCTTGATTAGACATCTCTAGTTTTGTTCAATGTGATTAGTCTTCCCTTATAAGCTATGAGATTATTTTTTATTCAGTTTTATGTGTCTTGTTTTTCAGCTGTATTTTAGATTATCATTAGCAATTGATAAGAATGCTAATTGAGAAATTTGGGACAATGAATCAGGTTGTGAAAACCGATGTTGTCTCATCCTTTTGGATGTCTTTGCAGGTCACTATTAAATGCATGTGTGGCTAAAAGAGAAAAATGTTAACATCCTCCGATGTAGATGGTGCTCTAGAATTAAGGAACCTTGAGATACAAATTCGAGCATAATTTTTTTCTAATTAAATAATTAGTTTTCTAACTCTTAGATTTTTTATTGAAATAATAAAAAACTTTTCTTTTTCTCCTATAATCAACGAATGATCCATTTAAGACATCAATAATTTCTCTACCAATGTGTAAATAAGCTAACCTCTAATACTAAAGCTTCACAAAAGCTCTTTTTATTCTATTACATATCAACATATTCTTGTATTACTCTTGAAACGGAAAGTAAAATAAAAGAGTTAGAACAAAGGTGTTGATAATTAACACATAGTCAAAGCCTCTCCATTACTCCTCTTCTTTGTGTTAATAAGTCTTTTGTGTTTCCAAACCGTAGCTGGTGATGCAGTAATCGCCGTTGGAAGCAAGACACACACTTGTGAATAAAAAGAAGCAAGAAAAACACTTGGTTTTAGGATCAATGGCAAACTCAATACTCAATAACATTAAGCAAAGAAAGAAAAGATGCTCTCTACCATTCAGCCTTGAACTTCTTTGATGCTAAGCTTCTGATAAACTTGTGAAATGTCTAAAGATAATCAAAATTCTGAGCCATCAAAATTGAATAGCAGATAATAAAAACCAGATTCTTGTGTCCACTGGTAATAACTAAATCATCCAGGAAGAAACTATAAATGTAAGAAAACTAAACAAAGCAATCTCTCCTAATTTCATACATCTTCAAGCAAAGATCTTGTTTTTTTCAAATCTTGATCAGATCAAGCTTAAGCTTCACCCCAACCCAGAATTGAATAGCTACGAATAGACTCAACACTAATGTAAACAAACCTACTTGTGAATTTTTTTTCCCACAAGCCCGTAATATGTAGTTTTTTTCTGCGATTTAGGGAAATAAGTGATAACCTCTTACCAGCTTACGAGAGGAAGAAGAAGACAAAGGAGAAGAGAGCTTGGGTATAGAATCATGATATTAGCCATCAGGATCTTTAGCTTCGACGTTACCAGTGTGATGAGAGCAAGAAGAAGAAGACGAAGGATTTCAGTTAGGTTAAAAAAACTATCCTGCTAATTCTACGCATAATTAGAGAATAATGATAATTTGAATTTAGTTTTATTTCTTAACCCAGTGGCATTCCATTGTAATTTTTGTGGAAAACTTAGGGTTAAGTACTAAATGTACTTCTGTTTGAATAGTTTAGATGTTGAATTTCTAAACTAATTAAATATCTTCAAACAATACCTACAACTTTATATAACTTACCAATCTTAATTATTTGATATTTACCAGTATTAATATAAGAAAATTGTATGTGTTTCCTCCTTTATAAAGCTTTATCGCTTTACTTCGTAATATCAAGAAAAACATGTATTATTCCATCCTAAGAAATAGCAGTCAAAAGCTTATAAAATCACCGTTAAACCTTATTAATAGTTTATAAAAATATAAAAATATTTACTAAGCTTTATAAATAGGTTAAAATTTTGATAAACTAAATATATAAAAAATTATAAATTATTTTCAATGTTTATAAATCAATTGTAAGATTATTAAATAATAAATTAATGATAACAAAGATTTTAAAATATTTAACCACATTCTTAATAAAACCCCTCAACTAAAGATTGATCGTAACAAAAACCTTCAACTAAAGATTTAGTGAAATAAACCCTCAACTTTAGTTCTGTTAACATATGTCACCCTCCGTCTAAAATTCCGTGACGGAGGGTGACAAACATTAACGAAACTAAAGTTGAGGATTTATTTCACTAAATCTTTAGTTGAAGATTTTTTTTACGATCTATCTTTAGTTGAAGGGTTTTATTACTAAAAACCCTAATTTCTAATATATCTTCAAAATACATTAAGATATTATTGATCATATAAAATAATTATTTATTACATGAAAGTTGATGATCAAAAATAACGGCTAAGAATAGAAATTTTTAGATTTTGGTTTTGTTTTCATTGAACAAGTTTTTCATTTCATGAAAACTTGATTTTTGTTTTATGCTTTCATTTATTTGGTTTTCTTTTGATACCTTTCCTTTGATTTTAAATGATCATGTTTGATGCTTCTTTCTTATTTTTGAATTGATTATACTTATGTTTTGGTTACAAAATATGTAATGTCAAGGTATTTTAAAACCGAAGATCCAATTCTACTTATTTTTTGGTTACAAATTAGATAAAAATTAGGTATTTCAAACTGAAAAACTGATTGGGATCCAAACCCGAAAGTATATCAAGTTGTACCGGTTTTTTAAAGATTTACTAACCCCGACCAGAACCTAAACCAAATTTTCATATAATCCGAATGGAGTTGATTTTGACAAATCCGAAAAATCAAAAGTCGATTGGACAAAACCGAAAGCGGATTGAAATCCCGAATGCCCATGCCTAAGCCCAATCCAAACATGCTGTTGTAGTTATGAAGAATGCCACATTTGTAGCAATTCTAGGCACACACAAATAAACTAAGACGCCGAACAGCTGCAGCAACATGGAAGCAAAATGGAAGAGAAAAGGAGGTTGCAGAATAAGACCTCCACAGAGATGCATATGGACACACTCGTAAATCCACATTTCTAGCGACAAGTGTTCTCTACAATCCAACCTGGTGAGTGATTTCACTTTTGTTTCAAGTCACTGTTTTCTTTCAGAGACTTCACTCTTCTGTAGCCCTTATCGGTACCAAAGATCCTGATAAAACACGAACACAAATTGTTAACATCTCATTTTTTCCCAAAAAAAAAAAGAGAAAGAGATCAGGGGTTTACCAGTCCATATACACAAAAGTTGAAGAGTAGTTTCCAGACTTGGTGTAGAGCAGTTGGTGATGGTAGTCATGGAAGTCGGCACTGTAACCAAATAATTGAATTTTCCCTTATTACAAATCTACAATAGCTTTTAGATTCAAGGGAGCTGGGTAGATGTGTGATCTTACCCTCCATAGAGAGGAAGAAAATTCGAGAGGCTCCATGGGAAATGATAACCACAATGTGCCTCAACAGTCTCAAGCACTCTCAAGACCATCCATAACCAGAGAGTAATTAGGTGGGGGCCGGTGAGAGCTGGGCCGACAATAGTAGCAAATCCAAGGAATAGAATTTCAGCTGGATGAGCATACTCTGAAGTCAAACCAAATGGTGTGGCATATCTAGGGCATCATAAAATGGTTGCACTTTCAGAATAACTTATCCAAGTAGTAAACATTTGCAAGATTCAAAACATGTAAAAAAAGATGGTGAAGAACTGAAACTTACTCATGATGAACACTGTGGACAGTCTTGTAGAGCCATTTTGTATGCAAGATCCGATGACCCCAATAGAAAACAAAATCCTCAATGATGAAGTAGAATAATATCTGGGCAGACTCTTCTTTCCTGCAAAACCATCACCACCAAAGAGAATGGATCTTATATACCTCTGATCAAATGTACGCTCAGGTTCTTTCATGATGCTCAATACTGACAACATGAGAACCCAAAGGATAAAAAAGGCATTCAGGACTAAAGAACCTGATAATACCAGGAGTGCAGAGGAAAAGTACTTCGCATTCTCATGGCTGTGAAGACAGGATAGGAGGCGATCATGAGGGGCAAGTTAACGCAGAAATGATAAAGCAACAAGCGTGTTATACATTTTTCTTGGGCTGCAGGTGTGTTGTTTTTTGCCTGCATATAGACCAAAATAAGGGCTTTTGTTGATAATAGTGAGTTACCTTTATCAGTGAAACAACAATTGCTATCAGTCACGGATGGTTTTAGAAGTGACTGAGTGGCTCCTAGGTGATCAACCTATACAAAGATGCTACTGCAAAGGTAATGAGAGAGAGTTACCTGAATTTTGTAGTTGGTGAGAAAGCCATGTCTTTCAAGAAAAATGAAAGGGAGGCCAGATAAGAAAAACACACTTTTATGGAGGAGGAAACTCCCAATGCAGGCCAGTTGAAAGTCGCTAAAATGTGTCACAAGGTACTGCAAAACAAAAAACAAAAAGGATCAGCGACAGATCTTGATTGCTTGCCACAAAAGACTTGTGATGTTAATAATAGAAAGTACTGATATTATCATCATCATCATCTAAAAGTCTCTCTCTCTCTATTGCTCACAACAGTATTATCATTTTAAGTAAAAGCAAATGCACTATTTTGCTCCTATCACTAAAATATCAGCACGTGATCCACTGTTAGGTACACAAAATATGTAGAAGAAGAAGAGTGCGTGCCTGGTCAATTTCTTCTGCTAGAAAAAGGATCAAATTAAAAATGTAACCACCCCCGGCCATGCAATCTAAACGTCCGTAATTAGTTACCAATCATTCATGCGTCTAGATCCAGATTCCATACCCTAAACCCTCGAAAAGAAAAAAGACAAACTCAAACTTGTTCTACACGTGATTTGGCACCTCAAATTCAGATCTAACACATAACTTCAAATCGCCACATTTAATCCGATGGAATAAAACAATCAAATAGCAGCTAAGAGTTGAATAAAACGCGCATGTATCACCATGTGACCACGGAGAAACAAAAGTATCGATATAGACGAGAGAGAGTACCTGCCAACCGGATTAGACGAGGGAAGCCATCGATGGATCTAATGAGGAAGATAGAGATGTAGAGAGAAAGAAAGAGAGGCCACGTGTGAAACAACAACAACAATATTGAATAGACTGTCACCAAAAGAATCTGGAGACACTCTTATATTTTTTTCTCCGCCTAAGTTTTTTTTCTTTTAAACATTTTGACCTGTAAATGCTTACGCAGCCCCTCGTGCGCATCGCACTCTCTCCCTCCATCAGTTTGCAATGTGACAGAAGGGTTACGATCAGTTTTGTTATATACTATCTATTCGATTTCATACTCATCTGGGCGTTTGGTCTAGTGGTATGATTCTCGCTTTGGGTGCGAGAGGTCCCGAGTTCGATTCTCGGTACGCCCCATTTCTAATTTTATTGTTATGCTAAGAGCATGCATGAATGATTGATTTTGATGAAATCCCTCAAACGAACCTGCGATTCCTAATCGTTCAAAAACATGAACATGAAGCAGAGTTTCGATTAAACCATTTTTGTCTGAATCACATCACCATAAAAAACCTTTCAATCACAAAAGATTCCCACAAAAGAACAGAGCCTTATGTACATTACACACAGATACATCTGTATTTTTCTTTTTGTCACGAACAGATACATCTGTATAGAACTAAAACTAATAATAACCTCGTTGACTTTAAACCAATCAATCTCCTGTCACTTTTTATTCGTCGCCGAAAACTAGACGGAGTCGAGAAGCAAAGACGCCGGTAGAGTCAATCGACGCTTGATTCAGAAGTTCGCTTTTGATTTTACTCATACGGTCCGTCAAACTATCACTCTCCTTCTTGAGAACAGAAGTGTCTTCCTCCAGGTCGTGGATTCGAACTTCTGACTCACGGAACGGAAGCTAAGAAGCAAAATCCCTGTCATGGCGAAGAACTGGAAGAAGCTTTGCTTGTTTTTCTTCACATTGTCGAAGAATCCAGACGCTACAGCTGTTAACGCCTTCGCTGGATCTTTCCCTGTGAGTGGATTAACAGATCCTTGTTGTGGCGCAGAGGAAGCCATTTTGAGTGTCGAGTGAACAGAACACCTGAGGAAGGAGAGGACTAGTCAGAGACAGAAAAGGGTTTTCTTAACATTTGGGCTTTAAAGGCCCAACGAGTTCTTTGCTTTTTGTGTCTTGATTTGAGAAAGGGAAATTGCCAAATATAGCACTTTCATGATACCACATTTCATTTATACATTAACCAACTTTACCATTAAAGTTTTATTTGGCAAAGTACTTATATACCCTTAACCTAAAATTAACTCTTATCTCGTTGATGTATTCTCCGGCGTACGGCCAGATACGACGAAACTACGGTGAGGGTCGATGAAGCTACGGCGAGATGCGACGAAGCTACGGCAAGGTCCGTCGAGCCGCGGAGCTTCTTGTGAACGTCTCTATTTGTTTCAGAGGCTTCAGCTTGAGAGAAGAGAAACTCTTTTTCAATCCAAAGCTCACCGGTAATATAGAGAAATCATTTACTTTCTTGTGGTGATTCACACAAGCTCTTCCGATGAACAGATTCGTTCTGCTAATTGTTGCTTCGGCCATTAGAAGAAAAAGGTATCAAATTTGGAAACCTTACGGAAGAGGTGACTCTTGCCAAACCTCTTCCTCTCTCTCTCCTTTTCTCACAAGAATCTCTTCTTCTCAGACCAAATTCAGCCAAAATCAGCCTCGACAGAGAGATCTCCTCTTCTCCATTGATGTTTCTTCTTACTTATTGCTCTTTTTCCTTTTGATTGTGTTTTGTACAGGGGCGCTGGAGAAGATGAGCAACTAGGATTTGGAACTTACGAAGAAAAGGAATGGGTTTGCATCGTTGAAGCTCTTGAGCCTTTCTTCACATCTTATAAGCTACGAAATATGATGATTTCAATTTTTTTTCCCGAGAGAACAAAAGGTCCTGCTAAACTCCTTTGGTGTTTTCTTTGCTTCTCACTGTCTGAAGAAATATAATTTAAACTTCGATTTCATTAAAAGTTCATACTTTAATGATCCATTCTTTGTATTCTTGTATGTAAATAATTCTAGATTTGTTCACATGCATTGAATATAGTTTTATTCCTTCTCTTCTTCTTCATGACATAGTTTCTGAGATTTGATCGGATGCTTTAAACAGGTTCAGGCGGAACGTGGTGTCTATGGCGGCTGAGCTGAAGCAAGTGAAAGTAAGCCCTAGGCCTGGGCATATAATCCGGATCCGAGGATCCGACCCGGGACCGATCCGAAAAATCGGGTATTGGATCGGATTCGGATAGGCGCGAATACCCGATTGGATATGACTTTCAAATTATTTCGGATACCGGGTCGGGTCGGATAATATCCGTTATCCAAGCAAGTACCCGAAAATATCCGATTCCCGTATAAGCCTTCAATTAATAGTAACCACTAACCATCCATAACCCTAATTGCATTTTGTTAGTTCCGATAATTTTTCACCTTGATTATCACAAAGGCGATATCACTCCTCCGACACTCCCGTCTGTTGCGATTCTCAATTGGAAGTTGAAAATCCTCTCTTGGTGTATAAATTCTTGCGCATGCCTGATGGAAAACATAACATCTCCACCTTCAGTATCTTCGAAAAATTGTTCTGAAGTAAGTAATCGATTTCCAGTTTCGTTGTGATAACTGATTTTGATCTTGATTCTTCTTGTCGTGTTTTTCTTCTTGATGTTGGAAACATTTCTTTCACTTGTTATGTCGACTTGTTATGTTATTCTTGTCTCGATTATGTCTTGATATATAATTGTTATGTCGACTTATGTTCTTCTTGTCTCAATTATATTTCGATTTTTCTCGTCTTGTTCTTCATGATACTAGAATCGAGTCTCTCACTGGTTATATCTTATTGATCGTGTTGTTTACTATGTCATTGTCTTACCTCTTTTGTTATTTGTATTTGTAGATGGATTCGTCGCCGTTGCCAGATAACATTGAGATAGAGACAGAGGATGCAACTCATGGAACTGAAGACGAGGTTGTGTGTACTGATAACCGAGGCAAAAGGAAAGAAGGTTCAGGCACGAATGCAAGCAGTTCTAAGCCACCTAAAGCCAAGAAGACAACTACAAGATCTCTTGTATGGGAACACTACACAAGATCAGAAGACAATCGCGACAAGTGCAGATGCAACCATTGTCAGCGTGAGTTTGGTTGTGCATCTTCAGCAGGAACGTCAAACTTAAACAAGCATCTACAGTCATGCAAGTCCTACTTGGCGTGGAATCTGACTCAAGCTCCTGGTGCAAAATCCATTGACAACGAAGGAGGTCTGATGAAAGCAAAAGTTTCAGAAGGTGTGTTTAGAGATGCAACGAATGAGCTGTTAGTGTTGGCGGAGCTGCCACTTTCATTCACTGAAAGTGTTGGGTGGAAACACTTTTGTAACCGTGTTAACCTCTACAAACCTCATTCAAGAAGAACTGCTACCAGAGACATTGTCCAAATGTATGTGAGAAAGAAGGCAGCTTTGAAGGAGTGGTTCAAGACTACTAAGCAGAGGGTTTCAGTTACAACAGACATTTGGGTGGCACAACCAACAAGGGCGAGCTATATGGTGGTTACAGTGCATTTTGTTGATGGGAATTGGCAGTTAAGGAAGCTGATAATTGGGTTTAGGCATGTATGTGACCACAAAGGGCAGACGATTGCTACTGTGCTGCTTGACTGTTTGGCCGAATGGGGAATACAGAAGGTATTCACCATCACAGTTGACAATGCTACTGCCAACACATCTGCTCTGAGGCGGTTTCAAGGTGAGTTCAGTTTGCTTGGCAATGACGCATTGGTGTTGGATGGACTCTATATGCACATGAGATGTGCAGCTCACATCATCAATCTGATAGTAAAAGATGGCATGCTTGAGATAAGTGATAATGTCGAAGCAATCAGAAATGCAGTGCAGTATGTAAGGTCATCAACTCCAAGACAGCAATCGTTTGAGCTTAGGGTTGACTCAGGGAAGATGACAAGAGGCAGTCTGCCTTTGGACACTAAAACAAGGTGGAACTCAACTTATCTCTTGCTGCAAAGGGCTATCAAGTTTAAGGTGGCATTTGATAAAATGGAACAAGAAGACCGGCTCTACAATGATTACTTCAACGAAGTTGATAATGGGAGCAAAAGGATAGGGCCTCCTACTACCACTGATTGGAAGGCTGTGGAGAGGTTAATGAAGTTTCTGATAATTTTCTACAATTCAACATTGGTTGTGTCTGGTTCCACCTCTGTCTGCTCTCATAAGTGTTACGGTGAGATAGTCACCATAGAGAGGAATTTGGTTAGATTAAGCCAGAGTTTAGACAAAGAGTTGAAGAGTAAAGCTGATGACATGAGAGCTAAGTTTGAAAAGTATTGGGAGGGAATGAAGAATATCAACAAGTTTCTGATTATTGCTTCTGTCTTTGATCCGAGTAAGAAAATGCAATTTGCTAAGATGTGCTTTGAGAGAATCTATGGAAAAGAAACACCTGAAGCTAAGGCTATGGGTACGTCAGTTCATGATGTTTTGATTGATATGTTTAAAGAGTACACAGCACGTTATAGGAGTCAGCGAGCAGAGCCATCATCTCAGTCTACTCAAGCGTCATCATCTACTGTACCAGATCAAGGTTTAGGAGATTCTGCTGAAGGAATGGATTTGGCTGATGATGATTGTGGTTATGAACGTATGGACTTTGCGTACACTGAGATGGTTGCTGAGATTGGAGTTGAAGAAGCAAGGGACGAGTTGGAGTTGTACTTGAATGAGAAGGTAGAGAATCCAAAGAACATTCTTGGAGCAGAGTTTGATGTCTTGTCTTGGTGGAGGCTCAACAGTTCCAAGTATCCTATCCTAGCAGAAATGGCAAAAGATGTACTTGCAATGCAAGTTTCTTCTGTTGCATCTGAAAGTGCTTTTAGCACAAGTGGTCGGATTGTAGATCCATATCGGAGTTGCTTAACACATTATATGATCGAGGTCTTGATGTGCACAGAGCAGTGGATGAAGGCTGATATTAAGCTAAGTGAAAGGCGTATTGTGACTAATGCTCAAATGCTTGCTGATTTTGAGTTACATGATAAGCTGGAAAAAGGTACACATCTCTTACTTGCCTTGTAAATTATAGTTTTAAGATTATGTTTCATAGTAGTAATACAATTTGCTTGTGTTCCAGAGTTTGAACCCCGGTTCAATATGAACTAGACGTCTCTAAAGCAGCTTGGATGTATTAAGAACATGGAGAAGAAGGGAATGAAGAATATGGTCCGAAGCTTTGTTATGTTGTTTCTGTTTTTTTTTTCTCGTTTTGAACTTTTCAGTTTGAAGTTTGAATGTTGGTTTTTCTTTTTACTTGTTTTGTTTGTTTGAAATTTTCAATTACGGATTGTCGGATTTCATGTTTGTTTTGGATGCTGGTAAGCTATGGCGTTTGTTATGCTAATTTGATTATGGTTTTATTTAATTTCATCTAAGTTTAAGATTGTTAAGAATTGAGAAGTTGTAATTGTATTTTTTTGGTTCTAAGAATCGGATTTTTTGGGTAAGTTCGGTTCCTTTGGATAAATTTTAAGTTCATAAATAAGGAACCAAACCGAACCAAAACGAAACCGAAATAATTTCGGTTATTTCGGATGTAACCGATCCGAACCGGATCCGAGAGGTACCGAACCGTATCCGATCCGATTTTTTAAAATATCCGAACGGTACCATTTTTCCTATATCCAAAATATCCGAAATCCGAAATATCCGACCCGGATCCGAACCGGTATCCGAATGCCCAGGCCTAGTAAGCCCCTTTGATTATTCTCTGATTGTTCTTTCTTTTGGATTGTGTCTTTGTGGGGTCAATTTTGTGTTTATTTGTTTGTAAATGATTTGGTCCTTTTGTTTTGTTTTTTTCTCTCTTGGAAGCAGAGACAAAAGCTAAGAACATGGAAAGGGAGATCTGTAAATTGCAGAAGACATTGGAAGATGGAAATTGCCAGCCTGAAGCTTCAGCATCTGCTGCTACAAAGGTTTTAACTTCCATATACCCTTTTGTCTTTTGAAATATAATTTATAAACTTAAAAGACTCCAATTTGGACGTTGGGAGATATTGTCCTAACCTGGAAGCTCGTGACCTCTCAGAGTTGGATAATTTGACGGATGCTTCACTAAAAGAGATTACAGATGGTTGCAGATCTTTGAACTCAGTCAAATTTACAAGAAACCGATTCTCAAGTCTCACCATTTTTTTTCTTTTAAGTGCAGCTTAAGTGCAGCTTATGTTGGTTATCAGTTAACTAGGTGCCTTAGTCTCAAGCTAAGCTCTTTCTCTTACGTTATTAAGTTGGCAAAACATAATCTTTTTGATGTTAATCTAAATAATGAACACAGATTCTAATAGGAGCCCAGGATAAGGAAGATTTGAGAGTGGGAAAAGATGTTGTAGGTAGATACAAAGGCTAAGGAGAATAATAATAATAATGTTCCTGTTGTTGACGTTGATGGTGATGACGTTGTTGATGGGTCTGATTCTGCTACTGTTTGTGGAGTCTTACAAGAAGATGGTACTACTTGCACGACAGCTCCAGTCATAGGAAGAAAGAGATGCACAGAGCATAAAGGACAGAGAATCTCATGTCTTCCTCCTGCTAAAACCTACCGTGTGAAGTTCCTACTGCGAGAGAAGAATGTGGAGAGACCGAGGAGATATGTGGAGTGATTTTACCTGACATGATACGTTGCAAAAGCAAACCTGTTTCACGGAGGAAACGTTGCGAAGATCACAAGGGAATGCGAGTCAACGCCTTCTTCTTTCTGCTCAACCCAACAGAACGTGATAAGTCCAAACCGGTGACACGTTCAAGCTCAATGAACCAAGAGGAACCAGGTCAAAGTCTTTTATGTGAAGCTACAACGAAGAATGGTTTGCCTTGTACAAGAAGTGCTCCTAAGGGAAGCAGAAGATGTTGGCAGCACAAAGATGGAACTCTGGACAACAAATCATCTGAAAATGTTCAGACATCAGCAAACGTAACTTAAGTAGTCTGCGGTGTGAAGCTGTACAATAATGGATCAGTATGCGAGAAACCTCCAGTAAAAGGGCGGAAGAGATGCGAAGAGCACAAGGGGATGAGAATCACATCTTGAATATTAAAAAATTAGAGTAACTCGTTTGTATTAAGCACCTAGTAGAAATGTATGAGTTAAATAAGAAGCAACTTGATTATTCTTCATCAATATGTAGGTTATAAGCAATTACATATTTACATATATGATTCATATCGTTTTCAAATGGAATTTTCACACTTTTTATTTTGGGAGGGACATAGCTTCAACTTCCTCTACTAAAAAATTGGAATGTACACTTAAGAACTAATATTCTGCGGTTTTAAACATCCCCTTATATATAATTTTTAAACTTTTAAAATAATGTTTATAGTTTATAAAGCCTTATAAAAAACTAATAATAATTTACAAATGATTTTATAAATATTTATAAATGATCTATAAACCATTATAAATGATTTAGAAACCATTATAAATAATTTATAAACCCTTATAAATGATTTATAAACTCTTATAAATGATTTATAAGCCTTTATAAAATGTTTTAAGACTTTATAATTGAATTATCTTCAGAATTTCTACAAATTCTTATAAATAATTTTATAAACCCTTATAAATAATTTTATATATTCTTATAATCTGTTTATAAAAAAGATTTAGAAGGGTTTATAAATGATACAAACCCTTTTAAATTCTTAAAAATGAAATACCAAGTTTTTGCACATTTATAAAATTGTATTAATTAATTTATAAGGGTTTATAAATTTATTTATTAGAATTTATAAATTGATTTATAAGGATTTATAAATGCATTTATAATGGTTTATAAATGGATTTACAAGTTCTATAAACTAATTTATAAACATTTATAAACTGAAATAGAATAAACTGAATTTTTTCTGTGTTATAAAATGATTTATAAAAGTTTATAGTTTGAATTTTTCTGTGTTATCTATTATATAAAACTTATCAACATTATATAAGATTCTATTAATTTTCTGATATTCTAAGAAGAGCATGCTTTTTGATATTCTAAAACTGTGTGTGAATAGGATGCGTTGGAACTGTATACGAGTCGAAAAACATTAGAAGTGCATTGAGTAAATCTAATTATAAATGATTTATAAACTCTTCTAATTGAAAACTCTTATAAATTGTTTTATGAAGATTATTAAACTCTTTTAATATTGTATTTTGTATAAATCCTTATAAATAGATTTATTAACCTTCTAAATAAATTTATAAACTCTTATAAATGGGTGATAAGTTCTTGTACATGGTTTTATAAACCTTTATATTTTTGTATAAACTCTTACAACTCTTAAAATGATTGTATAAACTCTTACAACTCTTAAAATGATTATATAAACTCTTACAAAATGATTTATAAACTCTTATGAATTGATTTATAAACCCTTATATGTTTTTTGTAAACTCTTATAAATTAATTTAGAAACCCTTATTAGTTAATGTATAAACCCTTATAAATTACTTTAACCTTTATGAGTTAATTTATAAACCCTTATAAATGACTTTATAAATCCTTATAGATGATTTTATAATGGTTTATAAATCACTTTTAAAGCCTTAAATCCAAGCTTAGCAATAGCAAACAATGTGACTCAAGACCTTAGAGTTCAATGCTACATTGCTACAAATGCTCCTCTTTGGCCTCGTCCTCTGCTGTATCAGGAAAATAGTGGATAATGCCTCGAGCTACATCCGTATAAAGCTGGTGACGATGGAATTTGGTCTACAATAATCAGTCTCTTGATTAGACCTTTCTGTGTATAACAGGGGATCCTCTAACTCTGTGAGTATTCTGTAGTAATCTTTAGCTTTCTTCTCGTTACTAAATAACTCAATGGACGGATCAGAAGAACGCAGGACAACAGACACAGAGACAGCATTGCATATTTCTTCTTGTCTCAAACTCATTCCTTCCATGGCAAGTTTTTCTGGAAACATGGGATACGTAGCTGTAGGTAGAAAGACAGAAGTTCCCCTTCTCCAAGTATTCTCACCTGCAAATGCGTGAGCTGAGCAGATAATGTAGTGGCCTCAGTCTGAAGGGTCTGCACCTTGTGTTCTAACTCCGCCATGTATTGCGTCTTCCGCTCCTTCGAACGTGCAGCAGAGACACGGTTTGCCAATATCCTTTACAAAATTGTTTAAAAACAAACACTCAATAACAACAACAAGGCTGAAATGTCACCACTATGTATTGAAGGATTGTGTCCTGAGATTACCTTCTCAGCTTCATATTTTCCTGAACGAAACCCATCCAGCTTCATAACTCCCTGAATAACACTCATTCAGCTTCTTATCTTCTGAGCAAACTTGCTCCACCTGAGCTTCACCACTCAACACCAATGCTTCTTTGAAAAATTTCTCCAAGCGTTCATAAGTATCAGTCTTGATACAACCTGAAAACTTCCTTGATGCTTCCTCTTAGAATCTTTAAACCGATCCCATGTGCTTCAGAAACTTCAGCCTTCAAATCCTTGATTACTACCAAAACCAGACTTGATATACTCACTGAACTCTAGCTGTGACGTGAACCACACCACCATCTCGAGCTATTAAAAATTCTCAAGTCTTCTTAGGTTTCAAAACAAGAATTATACAACCTTGTGTTGCATACAACGTCTTCACTGATTCTCCTTTGGCATTCTCCATAACCTGAAAACTTAGATGTCCACTCAACAACACCACCGAGACAAAACCATAAGCTCCACCTTTAACTGTTGCTGCAACTGAAATCACCAAATATACTGCCAAAAAACTTGAATCCAATGATGTTTGAAACTTCCTGAAGAACTGAGTCACCTCTGCTTGTCTGAATATATTTGACTTGAACATCACCCTACACTGCTGCTGATGATAGCAGGACACGCCGCCTAACTCAACCAGGATAAGAAGACTTTCGATGTAGATAATCTCTGCTCAACTTCTGCTCAAACTGATCTGCATCAATAAATCTTCAACCAACAAACTTACCACTCGCTGACCTCTTTACCATGTCTCAAACTCACAAACCCATGCAATACCCTGAGACACTTCTTCTGTTACAGTGTCCTGTGACCTGCAATGCCTTTTACCCGCCTGCAATCTTCACCAGAAAACCTCTGTACTTGCATCACTGATTCTTCCTGACTTTACTGCAACCTCTCTCTGTCCATCAGCTTCATTTTACCATGCTTCTGATCTTTATACCTTCACTTGATTTACCTCAAGTGCCTTTACTGAGAAGATTACTCCAAGTCTTCTTAGTACTGATGCTCTTAAACAACTCAGAATTGCTTTGTAGTTGTCCTTACTACAAGCAAACAATCTCTAACCTTTAAACTGAAGTAATACCCTCGAGACAGCTTCACATGTATATTATACTTACCTTTTAACACGTTTAGGGTCAGTCATTACAATCTCAGCAAGTTTCTCATCTGCTGAGATCTTCTTCATCTCAGCCGCAGTAAACTCACTGTTTCCAAATTCCACACTCGAGTTCCCTTCACCAGAACTAGTTGGGGAAGCTTTTACCTGAAGCTTAAGCGATGATGAATCATCACCACCAAAGTCCAATTTCCCCATGAAACCACTATCCATGGAAACACTCCTGTAGTGTCTAATACCAGTGGGAACAATGTCACCACCAGCTCTCCTCTTCACCCCTGAAGAAACCACCTTCACATTGTCACTGCTCTCTCCCTCCGAGTCACTACTGGTTCCACCACCATTGGTCTTCCTAGTCCCACTACTCTGATAAACCCAAGATTGAGTTTATCTGATTGTTACAGAAAGAGAGGGAGAGATTAGACGAAGAGTAAGGGTAGAGAAGAAGATAGAGAGGAAGAAAGCTTGAGGAACAATCCTCTGTATTGATAATGATCGTAATCGATAACTTTTACAAAATGCAGAGAAAGGTTAATAAGGAGTACTACTAATGGGCTCGATGACCANAGAGGGAGAGATTAGACGAAGAGTAAGGGTAGAGAAGAAGATAGAGAGGAAGAAAGCTTGAGGAACAATCCTCTGTATTGATAATGATCGTAATCGATAACTTTTACAAAATGCAGAGAAAGGTTAATAAGGAGTACTACTAATGGGCTCGATGACCACAACTAAGCCCAATACGAATTTACCAAGCCCAAGCTTATCAATACTCCCCGGTTGATGACAACCTTGTCCTCAAGGTTGAACATATAGTAGCAGGCTGTCATCTTGAACCAAAACCTTGTCATTGAGCACCACGTTTGTCCTTTTGTATACAACTCGGGTGGCCTTGGCAAATGGAACCTTTCTTGAGTGAAGTGGAAAGTTTGTCTCAAAGCGCTCACTACAACTTCACCTCCAAACACATAACGATTCCAGCCACTTGTAGTATCTCCCTTGCTCCCTTCTTTGTTGTGTCCAAACACAATCTGAACTAGCACAATATAATCCTTTTCAATAATACACAATATAATCCTTTTCTTGTTGAGCTCATCACCTATCTCTTTCTTGATAACCATAACATGGCTGCTCACTACAGCTTCAACTGAGTTAAATGAGATAATGACGAGGCCCATGAGAACTGGCAACACAATACTCCAAACCAAACTTCCGCACTTATCCATACTCCCTCTGTAAGAAGCCACCTTGTCCTCAAGGTGGAAGAACAGTGAACGCCCTTTGCCTGGTATAGCAACTGTGCTGAAGCAGAGGAACATATGGGGTGGTCGGGATGAATGGAACAAGCCACTGCTAGAGTAGAGAGCCCATCTGTAATTTCTCAATGCTGTTGCACCTCCTTTTTCTCGACTATAAAACACCTGCAACATCAATAAGGGCAGACTTTTTACATAACCCATGGCAACGTTGTAAGGTTCTCTACTTCTTCCTTCTCCGGAATTTATCAAACCCACTAAACCAGCTTCACAAGTTGTGGACATCAAGGATAATAACTCCAAAACGTGGTAGAATGTAGCCTGAACAGTAAGAAATATCTTCATCAAGTAGTTGATACTTAAGGCTAGTGTCCTAGAAAGCCCAACGACTCTAAAGGTTTTAAGCTCTCCCTCAGCCATACCAAATTCTTCAGAAACGGAGGAACGTCTAGCTTCTCTACGAAAGTCTTCAACCCAAAGGTTCATGTTGTAGTCATGGAGTACCGGTCTTCCCTCATTGTGATATGAATGATCATTATTGCATATACGTGGAGATCGTTTTCTGAGCTTGATTGTGTCGATCCATTTGATCACCTCCAATCTGAAATATGACTTGTCATCATAGTGCTTCTGTGGCGTCTTGAGAACGTCACTCTCAGCTTGACTCTTCTTACTAATACCCAGCAAAGATTGAGGAACCTTACAGCCAACATCCAATAGGTTTATCCCATCATTTCTTATCATTTCTTGAAGCTCCAGTTCATGAACCCAATCACATATGATCACCGTACAATCACACTGAACCAGTTTAACCATCACTGCACATTTGCTCACCCATCTAACTGAAGTATTTCTGAGCAGATGAAGAAGCTTGTGTTTAACTATATGTACTCTCAATCCCAGAAACTTACCATCTGACTTCAGCTTCTTGTTCTTAATTCCGTAACATATTATACCAGGTTCCCATACTTGATTTGTCAAATAAAACTCAAGAAGTTGTTTCGTAAGCAACTTAACTATCTCCTGAATCTTCTCCCGGAACCAATCTTTCTGACTTTTCTCAAAGCATGATTCACCTGGATCCCACTCTCCATTCGTACGAATTAGTCCTCTAAGGAAGTGAGCCACTGAACAACGTGTAACTTTAGTCTTCTTTAAGCTACCATCAACGTGACTCCATTTAGCTTTTGGAGGCGTCATAGTTATCCTGCCATCTGATTCTTTCGGCCCTATCTGTCTCAGTGCCTTATCGGGAATGTAGAGACCAAACAACTCCTTCTTTCTAGTCTTGTGATAACACCATTTGACCAACAGCTTTTTCTGGAGAACAACAAGTCTTGTGTAAAGAGCTTTTCTTAGGTGTCGTCTACCTTTGAAACGAACCTTGTGAAATCTTCGTTGCTCCTTCTGTTGTTGAACATGAGAGAGTTCAACTTGGCTCTTATAGTTGTTCGTTCTCTCTGATTCAGATACCATCGGTATTTCACCTTGCAAAGACTCCATCCCAGCATCAGGATCATCATGTTCTAAAACCTTAAACTCCTCAGCAAAGATACTTTGATCCCCTATCAACGTATTAACAAAACAATCTATATCCGTAGGAAGATAAGAGATAAACCTGTACCCAAAGAGATGAGCCTCTAGCTTCACTCCTGTATCAACGATCTGTCTTGTTCCCACGCGGATCTGCAAATCATTTTTTGTATCGCTACAACCTGAAGATTCACAGAACATTCCCAAACTCTTACAAGCTTGCGCAAGCAGTACTGCCTTCTTCTCTCGGTTGTATTGTTTCTTCATTCCAATAGTCTTCACTCTCACACACCTCCTCTGAGATGTCTCAAGACCCGTAAGGTCTAACGAACTCTTTAAATCAGTTGCCCTTCTCAGTGACTTACTTTTCAGGTTCTTAAATCGAGAGCTGTGGTAGTTTTTCTTGATTGGAATCCTTTTGAACCTGATACCTCTGTTGAGTTTTAGATCTTCAAACCTTTTAGGAATAAAGCCATCGGTTAGCTTGTTCAACCGAATGTCCTCACGTAGTTTCAGACTGTCCAATAGAAGATCCAAACGCAGGTTTCGATCCACATGTCCAGAAGACTCTTCTTTACGCCGGAGATCATCTTCAGCGTTCCATTTCATCATCAGCGCTATCATCGCATCCATCGAGTTTGTGTTCGATGTTGAATCCGGAAACGCACCGTCAAGAGGATGACTGTGCTCTGATACCATTGATAAACCCAAGATTGAGTTTATCTGATTGTTACAGAAAGAGAGGGAGAGATTAGACGAAGAGTAAGGGTAGAGAAGAAGATAGAGAGGAAGAAAGCTTGAGGAACAATCCTCTGTATTGATAATGATCGTAATCGATAACTTTTACAAAATGCAGAGAAAGGTTAATAAGGAGTACTACTAATGGGCTCGATGACCANAGAGGGAGAGATTAGACGAAGAGTAAGGGTAGAGAAGAAGATAGAGAGGAAGAAAGCTTGAGGAACAATCCTCTGTATTGATAATGATCGTAATCGATAACTTTTACAAAATGCAGAGAAAGGTTAATAAGGAGTACTACTAATGGGCTCGATGACCACAACTAAGCCCAATACGAATTTACCAAGCCCAAGCTTATCATACTCTCCCCCGGAGACAGATCTCTCCAGAGACCTCGACGGGATCAAAGGACTCTGAGTCATCCCCACCGCCCCCTAATCCAGGCTCCCTCCTCCTCCCCCTAATCCCTCATCCACACCGCCGACGAACTCTCCGATCAGACCATATCCTCTTCCGCCGCACCTCCTCCACCTGCGCTCTCCTCTTTCACCCTATCGTTGTTCTGAACTCTCCGATCAGAAAAACAAAGAAAATAGCTAGGGTTAGTTTTGTAATTTGTCATTAAATGTAAGTGGTATATTTGAAAAGTGTAATTAAATTGTGGTATATTTGAAAAGTGGTAGTGTGAAAGTGGTAGTTATGCAATTTTCCCTTTGAGAAAAGGCTTTTACAGTAAGCTTGCGGCATTAATAGTTTTCACAATTAGAATTTACATATTAACTCTTCTTGAAGGCAACACTAATTACTGACGGTATATTATGAAATACTGATTATGGAGAACTTTAAGTTTGATCGCTGCACTCTTTGTCGTGTATATGTTTAACTATATTATTTCAACTTTTGTGTCATGTTACTCTTTGTTCCTAATCAAGTTTGACAATGATTCATCTTGACTTCTTGAGAAATAATTGCATTGAGTTTTTGTGTGTGTGGGGTTTACATGTCCAAGATCTTAAGAAGCAAGATGGGGACATATTTGAACTAATTTAATATTCATTATAGTAATTTTTTTTGTTCTGCTGGATGGTGTTAGAATTTAGTATTTGTTTTACGTCTCTTTTCCTGTTATACATGTCATCATTTGAAACTCTTGTCGATACGAGGTGATCATGTGGTTACCGTAACAACCAAATGAAAGAGTTTTATGGAGATAATGTCTTCACACGTAAACGTTACTTAGAACACACAATAAAAACTTTATAAAAGATAAAATGAAATTACAATACAGAGGCGCAAATGCAAATCAACGAAAGACACAAAATCTTACAGAACACATCATAAAGATACAAGAGAAAACCATCAAAGAAACACAGCAAATGTCCCACTCCAACATCTTTATTTTTCTTAATCATCGGACTCCTTTTCTGTCTTCTTCTTTTCCTCCTCTTCAGTACCCTTGGCGTGATAACCTGGAAGCTTCTCTTTGATCTTCTCCATCAGTCCCTTCTTCTCCTCTGGATGCTCCACCTTTTCCTCCGTCACTGGTACTGCAGCCACCGTGTCGACCACTTGAGAATCCTTTGGTTTCTCGCTGTGACCTGGAAGCTTCTCTTTGATCTTCTCCATCAGTCCTTTCTTCTCCTCCTGGTGCTCTACCGCTTCCTCTCTCGTCACCGGCAGGGTGGACATGATTGGAGTCTCATCCTCTGTCTTTGCTTCGTGTGGAAACTTCTCTCTGATCTGCTCCATTACCTCTTTTCTATCTTCTTTTGTTTTCTCATCTTCTTCAGCGATCTTCTTCTTCTCCTTCTTCCTCTTCTCACCATCTTCTCCTTCTTCGTCGCTTGACTGTTAAAGATCAATACACTCGGGTCAATAGAGATTTAACTAATAATTATAAAGCTTTTCTAAGTCTTATAAATAATTGTATGCCCCCTAGACATAGTGAAATGAAACATTAGTCTATGGTCCCATTAATATTAGTGGTTAATATGAATGTATCACCAAAAAATTAATTAAAATATATGTTTAGTAATTGTTTCAAACCCCACGAATATCATCTCACTGGTCTGTACGGACTGAATTAAGTTACTTACAGAGGAAGAAGAGCTGTTGGATCTGTGAAGCTTTTGTAAGAGACTAGGTTTGTTCTCTTCTTCTTCCTCGTGCTTCTGGTGAAGCTTCTCGAGGAGAGTAGGCTTATGCTCCTTCTCTTCCTCTTCTTCGTGCTTCGCCACAAACGCAGGAGGTTCCGAGACCTGAGCCTTGTGCTCGAATTCTGACTCAAGCGTCGTCGTCGCCGTCGCCGGCGTCTCTTGAGGTTTCACTTCCTCTTTTTTCCCCAAGAAGTCGAACAGTCCACGAGACTTAACCTCTGCCGTCGTCGCAGATGATTCCTCCGTGGTGGCAACCTTTGGGGTCTCGTTCTTGAACTCCTCCGAAGCGTTCTTGTACTCTTCCGCCATAGTTGTCGCCTGAACAGTTAAAAGAGAAATGATCTAGAGCTTTGCTTTTAAGGTGATGATGTAAGAGCTGTGATGAGTATTGTGAATGTGATGAGAGGTCAGAGTGGGGTTTTATAGTGTGAGCTTGAGGGTCCACGCCAACGCGGAGGTCACGCTGTAAACATTTAATTGATTTTTTAAGTAAAGCAAAAAGGATGGTGACTATTTTGAGTATTTTCTAAATTGCTGAAATGAACCCCCCCCCCCCTCTTTTCTCTAACTCTAAGTCGGTAGATGAGAGAATCATGAGATGAGATCATCCATTTCTTTTTAATTTTTATTAATTAAAGGATAGTATGTTTTTAATATATTGATGAGGAGTTGAAGAAAACATTAAATATCGCATAGTCATGTACTTTTATCTACGGGGAGATGTATCAATGTACGGTTACGTGGTCGAAGTACATCTTTTAAATTTATTTTTATTGCAACACACTAATCAGATAACTAAAGAGTTTGATTAGAACTCTTACGTTTTGTTTTAAAAGCATCATTTCTATGTGTTGTACTTTGTAATTGTATTTTAGAACTCTTGTCTACAAATTTGCATAAACAAGCTATTACATCGCTAGCCATGACTAGTTGACCACGACTGGTGGCAGTAAGTAATTGATGAGAAAAAACTAACGGTCAGGGAGGGTCAGTGAATGGAAGAATAATGGGAACGGACAGAAGTAAAATAAAATAATGAGGAAACACATGGTTCAAGCCAAGGAATGGTCGACGCGTGTCAGAAGAGCGTTAAAATGGTCCACATCTGGGACTTAAGGTCGGTTTTGATAGGCTAGTTGCATGGATGTCGGTAATGTGGGGCCACTGAACATATTAGGTCACGTCGGGCAGAAGCTGTTAGGTTTAAGTTTAACATGACACTACTCCAATAGTAAATCAGTATAATCTTATGATAAAATGATTTACTATTGGAGTAGTGTCATGTTAAACTTAAACCTAACAGCTTCTGCCCGACGTGAAAAAAAGTATTTCTGTTTCTTAACATAAATAAAAGGGTTAATTTGCTAAATATTGTAAAAAAATTATTAGATTTGTATTAAGAAAGTAGAGAGAGGAGGTAATACGCTTAGTTGGTGAAATATATGTGTTTTAGTATAGGATCAAATTTCCCTAAATAATTTTTTTGTTTGACGAATGTTTGAAAGTAAAGTTAACATAGATTTAAAGAAAAACATCTAAACCTGTAAAATTAATAGAACAATATGAACAAATATATGAGAAACAAATATATATATGAAAATTGAATGAATTCATCCCATTCATTTCTTATCAAATTTACAATAGAATAAAACTTTTTGTGTGTGGATCTGGAATCATTATTTTGTTTCCATGATTTCATTTCATAAATTGGCAATCCAACCTAAATGAAATATCTAGATATATGAAGTTGAATGTTTGCGGTGTCATTTTCGGCTTCTCTGGTTATATCCATTACGGCCGAAAGCTTTAACCATTTTATTTTAATAAAATTGATTAGATGTGGACATTGAAACACCCATAATTTGGAATCTGCTAGAAACTAATTAAATTATGAATCGTGTTCATCTGAAAGATTCAAATCGACGTGCCACATAATAAATCGAGACGTTCTCTGTACACGCAATCCGTAACGTTACCGACTTTTGTATTTTAGGCATCATTACCGACGAGACGACACATTCCAAACGAAGCAAGCGTTTTCGTTACTAATTTGGGGAATTATTATTTAAAAAGTTAAATTGATCGCAGCAAATAATTCAGTGCACCAAATCAAATATTTAATCAAGATAAAACTTCAGATCAACATGTAATTATAAAGCTTAACTAGAGCCAAACAGAACAGAGATTAGTCAAACTAGAAGAAGGATCAGAGATATATTTGGTTTGAATCAAAATAGTACAAATCCAACATAAGTTTCTTTACTTTTATCTCAAATCATGTAAACCCAGAAAGAATGTTTACTTAGTTCGAGTAAGATGTCTAAATCATTCTTAACTCACAAATGTTACCAACCGTTCATTTAAATTTTTTTTTTTTTTTAATTTTAAACATGATCTAAGCTGTGGTGTAGTTGAGTTATAATTTTAACTATCACTTTTTGTAAATTTGTAAACTTAAAAGTTAAACAAACATCAACCAAAATTCCATGTGTTTAGAAGTTGAGTTACAAAAATTATTTACATTTTTTATTTGGAAAAACCAAACCCAACGTCTCTTTTTCTATCTTCTTATTACTTACTTGCAAATTGCAAACTATGTTTCATTTTTGTACTTATAAAAAATCAATAAACTCAAGTTTTGGCATTTTCTATCTTAATATTATTTACTTGCATTAGTTTTAGATTGTTTTAAAAATAATTGAGTACCTTATTATGTTTATGAATCTTTATTTATTTAAAAAGATTTTATTTTATTTTTATAATAGGGATAACAACCTAATTTTTAATAACCTTTCACTATTTCTATTTTTTATTAAAAACCATACTGTAATATACATAAAAAAATGTTACCAATCAATTTTTTTTAAAAAATAATAACTTTTATTTTTACTGCAAATTTACCTCAAAAAGTTACTGTTTTATCACATAATTTTTCATGCAAATTATATTGAACTAGGTGTTTTGCCCGCACATGCGGGCTTAATTATCTTTAATCCATTTAAAATTTATCTACATAAATGATTATTTTCGTCCAAAAAATTTGACCTAAAACATTAAACTTTTTTACATAATAAAGTTATTCACAAATAAAAAAAAAATCTATTTTTTCTTTTAAATCTTTGAAAAGTCTAAAGTCTATTCCATTTCTTNAACTAGGTGTTTTGCCCGCACATGCGGGCTTAATTATCTTTAATCCATTTAAAATTTATCTACATAAATGATTATTTTCGTCCAAAAAATTTGACCTAAAACATTAAACTTTTTTACATAATAAAGTTATTCACAAATAAAAAAAAAATCTATTTTTTCTTTTAAATCTTTGAAAAGTCTAAAGTCTATTCCATTTCTTCTTAATTGATAAAAATATAGAAATCTATAAATATACAATCGAAAATTGATCTTACAGAAAGAATAATATTATTATTTCAAACATGTATTTTCTTTCTTTTTGAATGATCTTTTATTTTTCTATGATTAATTCATGTTTAAGGTATAATTATATAAAATATAGAATTGAATTTAATTTAACGTGTGAGTTCAGAGGTGAAAAATAACTTTACAAATATATATCATTATATTATATTATTATATTCTTTTAATTTGAAAATAATTACGTATCATATTTTTCAATTTTTTTCTTTTCAATTATATACAACTAAAAATTGTACTTTATGAATATTTATTTATGTGTTTTCTGTTTTTAATTTTTTTATTAAAATATATTTTCAGGATAACAGCACAATATATATCTAGGAATTATATTTTTATTTTATTTTAAATATATATTTAGATTATGGATAATTCTTATCATTATTATTAATTTAAATCATTTATCTAATCAAATAAATATTAAATTCTTTTTTAATATGCGGGCTTAATTATCTTTAATCCATTTAAAAATCATCTACATAAATGATTATTTGCGTCAAAAAAATTTGACCTAAAACATTAAACTTTTTTACATAATAAAGTTATTCACAAATTAAAAACAAATCTATTTTTTCTTTTAAATCTTTGAAAAGTCTAGAGTTTATTTCATTTCTTCTTAATTGATAAAAAATATAGAAATCTATCTTTCAATTTGAAAAATTGAATCGATAAATATAGAATCGAAAATTGATCTTACAGAAAGAATAATATTATTATTTCAAACATGTATTTTCTTTCTTTTTGAATGATCTTTTATTTTATTATGATTAATTCATGTTTAATGTTTAATTATATAAAATATAGAATTAAATTTAATTTAACGTGTGAGATCAGAGGTGAAAAATAACTTCACAAATATATAT